TTTTCTGTTTAAACAAAAAGAAAGGTCTTAACTTTAACATAGTCAAATTGTATATGACAGAACAGTTATCAAGTAAGAACACAGTTACAACATTTTGTCTATTAACATTTAGCAAGATCTAAAGAAAATATCATCCATCCCATCCTTGTGAGTCTAAAGTTCTATATGTAGCTTATCTCTTATCATAACTAAGGAAAACTATAATTATAACTATCTGTCTTCAACTCCATCAAAGACCACAGAAGGATAATATATAAACACTAGGATTGACAGAGGTATCTTACTGCCTGGACAGTCACCCGAAGTTCCTCTGTAATGTTGGGGCATCCATCTTCAGCCCATAGGCCACAATGTGTCTGGAACACTTCTCAGCAAAGCAAGAAATTTCAAACTGTCCATCTGCATTGGCAGTCTGTCAGTCATTTGTCTTTGTCCTGCAGGACGTCTCCTAGACTCTTCCATGAAGCAGGAACCCTGTAAGACTGAGTTCAGCAGTCACTTTTCTGTGGGTCCTGCATGTCCAGATTATACAACAACAGTCAAACAGTCTAGGCAAGAGCAGTTTCTTGCCCAAATGGCTAATATTGCCACGTTGAAAGCAAACTCCATAACGAGTTTATTCGATGCCCATTTTCCTCTCAGACATAATTGGTGCTGCCAGGAGCAGACATTTCTCATTGTCAAGAAAAACCCTAAACCATTTAAAATGCCATTTTCTGATGGTCTTTGAGAGGTTTGAAGACTATCTGTCTCAAATACATCTCTATATATCTAGAAAACCTAACTTACCTAACTATAAGATCTGACTCTTATAAGTAACTATCTATAGCCTGTATTCAATTATGCATTACGTTTTAAAAGATCAGTATAAGCACAATACTTAATCAAGAGGAGAAATATACATATCACAAATTTGACCTTGAATTTGTATCAATAAATGAAAAACAATACCCATACCATAATTCCCCTTTTTACCATTAAAAAAGATTGGCTGTGATCACTAGCCAATTATAAACAATCCCATTTAAATGAAAACAAAGTTTTATAAACAAGATGGAAATTGGGACGTCGCTCATTCCAAACTGCTTCCTGCTGAAAGGGGGCGCTGTTTATACCATGGGGATCATGACAAAACTCAGAAACCTGTGTAAGTCCATATTTTCGGGGTCTGTAAAGCTGCATCATCTTAGCTGTTTCGATTGTTGGAACACCTGGTCCACTGCTTCCGGGGGTCTTGGTTCGTCAAACCACAGAAGCCTGGAAGAAATCCTCAGCTTTTTATGTTCTGTGGAAACATAAATTAAAACTCCATTTCCGAGTAACATATCCTTATACTTAAATTTTGAAGTCAAGGCATTTTCAAAAGATAGAAGTTGGATTAATTCAGCAGCATTTATAATCAAGTGTACTTTAGCAGCTGTTCCTTCCTTAGCAATCAAAAAACTGAAAAACACAATAGCATACAGTATCCAGACTCTCTGTGTATTTCCATCTTTACGTGGCTTATTTATTTATTATTACTTTATTTCTTTCACTTTTATTTCTTTTTCTCTGAGACAGGGTTTCTCTTTGGAAATCCGCCTGCCTCTGCCTCTGGAGCAATTCCTACCGGCGTGCGCCACCACAACGCCAGCTTTTGTATTTATTTACCACTTTGCCGTTTCATTTTCTCTCTCAATCTCACGTATATTTTTAAACACACTGTAAACCTTTAGAGATTTTCTTCATCGAAGTCTGACTTTACTGTAAATCTTTATGTTTTTCTGACCACGTGTCTTATCTGTAAAACCGCGGCTGTTTTAAACTGCCAGTTTTTCCATCAAGATGGCGGGCGTAAGCGTGACTCCAGCTTACCGCCTCAGTCCATGCTGACATCCAGCAAAAGCTGCCACTTCCAGCTGTACGTACACACCTTTCAATCGTTAGCAGAGTCTCTTAAAACAACCTTGTTGGTTTTTTTTTCCTTTTTCTTTTTCTTTTTCTTTTTATGCCAAGTCAGGAAGACTCCAGTAAGCGAGCAGCATGAATCTCGGCTTGTCGCTAGCAAAACAGAGCACACCTGAGAAAAATGCTGCTACCAAAAATCTGTGCTTCTCTCCGTTCTTCTGTTTCTAAAATTCCTTTAAAGCTTTTGTCATTCTGCGTGGAAATTCATGATCCTACTCCTGATCACCATTATGTTAAGAGAAGCTTTTTCCTTTGCTAGCCGCTTTGGTTTATCCCCCGCCAGTCTGCCGCGCCAGCCTGGTTCTAGATCCGCATGAGTCCCAAATAAACACACAAGAGGCTATATTCATTATGAAGCTGTTGGCCTTGCTTGTCTCTTACTGGCTAGCTCTGCTTTAAGTAATTACCCCATAATTGTTAATCTAAGTATGTCTCTTACCGGAGAATAGTTCTGGGCTCCTACCCCCATGGCGGTTACATGTTGACTCTCTTGTGTTTCTCCTCCCAGAATCCTCCTGGACTCCTAGCCCCACCTATCTAGATTCCTATTGGCCAGCAGTAATTTATTAACATATACACAGGACTTCCCCAACACAAGCTTTGCTAAAATCTCATTGCTGATTCCTTCTCAAATATTTTACCACAAGCACTCATTTTTACAGTGTTTCCAATTTCTTCTCAGCTATCTCAATATGGACCAATATTGTTATAAACATAGAATATGATTTCACTTAACATGAAATAATATATGTTGTTTCTTTTCTGTTGTTGTTGCTTTAAGTTCTTTGTTCCTCATTCAAAAAATGTAAGTCTTTAATTCATCTCTAGTTTAGGGCATAAAATAAATAGAGTGTTCCTGATGGTGTAGTGGATGATTTTCTAACATGAATGAAGAAAAGCAGTCAGAAGAGGGTCATTGTCGCAATGACCACATGTGGAAAGAAGCAGCTTGGCACTTTATCAAAGCATTGTATATATGTGTCAGAATAATTCAATACTTTTTGCAGCTATGATTTTCAGTTTTCTTAAAGGTAAATAGGAAAGACTTTCAGAAAGGATATTCTCAGAGACATCTTCAAAAGACAATAAATACATGCATTTTTGTCAAACCCTCATTTCTTCAGGAAACTAAGACTACTGTAAATATTGTAATTATCACACTTAAGTTGAAAAAGATTTGTATAGTTTTGGCTATCCTAAGGGCCACTGAGAGAATAAAGTAACTTATATTCCAAAATTACTCTATTGACATGTGTTTTATATGGGGTTAGGTGAAGTGAAAAATGTTTGAACTTTTGATGCAAGCTATCCACAATTCCCAACAATGTACTATTTTCTCGTGATTGATATTTTGCAATTGTCATACATTTTACATAAATCATGTATTTGTATGTATGTGTGAACAATATCTACCACTATAGCTGTAAAATTTTCCCTCAACCATTTTTAAGTATGACAAATATGTTCATTAATATGACCAATAGAGTAATAGTCAATTTCTAGGTGCCATCATTGAATCTCAGATAGTGTATACTTTACTAGTTTGAAATGAAAAATGCATTTTTTCTTCTTTTTGCAGTGTAATCATTAATATTACGTGATAATTTATTTACACAGTTTCTTAAGATCATAGATCAAAGGTGGTTTACATGGTAATAGCATCAGTAAACACAAAAATTATATTAAAGAAACTTATTTAATCTCATTTTAATATGAAGAATATTTTAGGGGAAACACTTTCTGACATAAGTGTTTTAACCATTAGGTCTTGACAAATTCACTTGAAAGTGTAATTTAGTTTTTCTAATATTGCATAATTATTTAAGTATGAGCCCCAGCAACTGACAATGCATGCTGAGTAATTGGAGAAAATAATGTGCAATGTGCCCTCAAAAAGAATTTTCATAGTAGTAGAAATTGAAACTATGAATGCATACACACGCGCATGTGCACACACACATACACACACCCCACAGAGACAGGCAACCGATGTAGTTAACAGAGGCAGACACAGATTATTTGGAGGTAAAACTAATTAAAGTTCATATTGTGCAACATGGAGATACAATTTTATCTTATAGGTAGCGTTTGAAATGTACTAGCAAAGTTTTGAAGATGTTGATAAATGTGATATCTAAAAGTGATGGTTAATGTTAATTGTCAGCTTGACTTAATCTAAACATATCTAGTGGATAGATACACCTTTTGCCTCTGTGAGATGCCATTGACTACATTAATTGCAGTAAGAAGAGTTGCCAACTGGGAGTTGTACTATTGCCTGGCTCGGATCACAAATTTTGTGGTATGAAAAATGGAATAGAAGAGTGCCATCCGTCCACTGATGAATGCTTCTTCATCTTATATAGCACTTATGAGTTGTTGAAAGAGAATCCTTTGCTCAAAATGGATTATCTAGGGATGCTGGTTTGTGTTGCCAGATGAAGTAGATTTAGCTAAGAATTCTGAAATTCCCCTCTCCATTTCTCTGTTCACTTCCACTCACTCCTTTCATCATCATGTCTATGGCAAGATGAAACTTGAAAGAATAAATTTTGTATTACATAAACATTAGAACCCACAGCAACAATTATTTTATTACAGAAAGTATAGCTGAAATGAATCATGTTTCCTGCTTGGAATGTCTTTTATGGGTTCTGTATTTCAGAAATTTGCAAGAAGAAAAATAGGAACCAGGACTACTAATAGGGGCATCACATGTTTATAACTATTTTACTTGAAAAGGGGGTACTATTTTAAAGGAACAATATAGAGGTAAGGCATGGTTGAATATTTGTAATTTGTAAAATGATTCATGAAATTTGAGTCTAGAAGAGACATCTTGATGGTTTTCAACTTGTAGTAGTAAAGGAAGAGAAGTGACAGTTAAGCTTCATCCTCTTGGTAAGAGGCATCATCATAACTGTTTAGTTAGAGAGTTAAAGTTAGGAAAAGATGGGTTGCCTTTGAAGATTTGAATCACTACAAATGACTGGATATATGACATTATTCTCACTATAAGGTTTTATTTTTCTTTATATTTTCTCCTCTTTCAGGGTGATGTCATCGATGTGAGCTATGGAACTGCAGATGATTTTAAAAGGATTACAAAATTAAAAAATACAGCAAATCAAATTGCACTTCTGAAATTAGGAAAATTACCACTGCTCTATAAGGTTAGTGCAAAGGCTCTTATTTGGAGGTAGAGTAAATGAGTTTCTTTGTGCTGTTTGTGGTAGGTGCTTTTGAAATTATGGAAAGAGGGAGAGTACATGTATGTGCATGTGCTTGCTCTTTCACATGTGTGTGTGTGTGTGAGAGAGAGTGGGGGGGAGAATTATAAGAAATGTCATTTCCAAATTAGAATAAATTAACATCTTTATGGAAAAGAAATGGTTGCCTATGTTACTTAAATGAGGAGATGTGCTTAGTTGGGATTACTGAATCTGTGAGCTCTAAACAAGGAGAATATCCATATAAAAATCCACATCAAAAATGTTGACAATGAGAACTTGGGCTACCTCTTTTAATAGCATAAATGAATCTTTCAATCTGCTGTCAAAACTGACTAATTTCCATGTGCATCCATCCTGTCTGATTAGAAACTAACTGACTTATACGCTTCTATGATTAATTTTGTAAACTCTGTAAATTCACAGTTACTGCCTGTACTAAGAAATCCAATTAAAATAGAATTTCTAAGGAGATGTAGAATTTTTATTTATTTTTATTTAAATTGAAGTTTATTAACACTGATCCATTAGATACACTTATATAATTAAAGCAGTTCAAACTAAATAGTGGATAAATATTAAAACAAAATATAGCCAGGGTTGCTTGTTATAATTTCATTTCCTATTTCTGTTTGGAAAGTATAGTCATTGTGGTTATATCACAGGAAGTACTTGTTCTTAAGATGAATTGGACTTTTTCTTATACAATTTTAAGGGTTTTGCTAATCCTCAAGCCCCCCCACACACCAATATCCATAAAAGTGTTGGATGATCTATTAAGAAAGAAGATGCCAGACTTGGTAGCAGCTTCCTTTGGTCTCAGCACTCAGATAGCAGAGTCAGGTTGATCTTTCTGAGTTTCAGACTAGCCTAGTCTACTTGGTCCAGGCCAGCCAAGGCTTCAGAGTAAGACATTGTTTCAGGAAGAAAGAAAGAAAGAAAGAAAGAAAGAAAGAAAGAAAGAAAGAAAGAAAGAAAGAAAGAAAGAAAGAAAGAAAGAAAGAGATGAGAGATGGGAGAGGGAGGGAGGAAGGCAGGTAGGGAGGGAGGGAGGGAGAAAGGAAGAAGGAAGGAGGAGAATCTCTGACTTTCATTTTCTTTCAAGGGTGTGCTTATAGTTAAAATAGTGTTGGATCATTGCCTATCTGTGACATAGTTTTAAAGATAAAAAAGGACAGTGATATTATCTTGTGCTAGATAAACTTTTGAAGTTCTGCAATTGCTTTAAAACAGCCACATATTAGCCAGGTATTAGTGGTGCATGCCTTTAATCCCAGAACTTGGGCGGCAGAGGTAGGTGGATTTCTGTGAGTTCAAGGCCAGCCTGGTCTGCAGAGCAAGTTCCAGACAACCTCTAAAGCCATACGGAGAAACTGTGTCTCAAAACAACAACAACAACAACAACTACTGAAAGTGATTCCATGTTAGTAGAGGTGGACTGATACGTATTTTTGAATGGAAGAAGGAACCAAATAACACAGTTGGTATGTATGAGTCTGATAAGTTCATTTTATGGATTTCAAAATGTGACTTAGGCTATTTTTAATAACTTTATGCTTGCCTATGCATTATACAATGATTGTGTATTTTATAAGAGAAAATGCCTTTAACATTTCAAATAAAGTGTCTGGAGAGAGGGCTCAGCTGTGAAGGGCAGTTATTGTTCTTGTAGAGGACCAGTGATATACCTTCCTGCCCTGTGTGTGCTGTAGTTTGTATGGGTCACGGATAGAGAATTCCTTTTTATGCCTTGAGTCTACCCGTTCTATAGAGCATCTATGTGTCTGTTTTGTTTTGTTTTTTTTTTAATCTGAAACTTAGAATATGGACTAACACATCAATCTGAGATGGGGTAATCTTAGATACAATCAGCTTAGGCTAAGATTTACTTTGATTAATCTCCAAGAAGTCAGAGTGCTTTCAGTGGCAGTATGTAACCTGAGACCTTCATTAATTCTCAACTTGCTAAAATATATTTCACTATGGAACTTTCTTTGTAAAATATTATATAGCATTTTATTTCTTGTTATGGCTATTTTTATATTAATTTATTTAGTTTATAAACAATCTTATTTTATATATTAATCCCAGTTCCCTCTCCCTCCCATGTCCTCCTGTCCTCACTGACCCCCCCTAACCTACCAACCCATCCACTCCCCAAGGAGGGTGAGGCCTTCCATGGGGGAATCATCAAAGTCTGTCATCAAGGTCTTGACCCCTTTGCTCATGCCTCCTCACTCTCTACAACTGGCTTCCAGGAGTGTTTAGCTGTGGGTGTCTGCTTCTTCTTTTACCAGATACTGGATTAAGGCTCTAGGATGGCATTTAAGGTTATCATCAATCTCATTATAGGTGAAGGGCATTTAAGGTAGCCTCTCCACCATTACTTAGATTATTAGTTGGGATCATCCTTGTGGATCTTTGGACATTACCCTAGTGCCAGATTTCTCTTTAAAACTATGTGTTTCCCTCTATTAAGGTATCTCTTTTCTTGTTCCCCTCTATTCTTCTCCCTGACTCAGTCTTCCTGATTCCTCATGCTCTCATTCCCCCTTCTCTTCTCTCCTTCTCTTTTACCTTCCTGCCTGCTTTTCTCCCAATGCTCCCAATGTGCTCAGGAGCTCTTGTACCTTTCCTGTTCTCCAGGGGAACATGTATGTCTCTCTTAGGGTCCTCCTTGTTTCCTAGCTTCTCTCAAGGTGTGGACTGTAGGCTGGTAGTGTTTTGCTCTATGTCTAATATCCATATATGAGTGAGCACATACCATGATTGTCTTTCTGTGACAGGGTTACCTCATTCAAGACGGTTTCTTTCAGTTTGCCTTTGAATTTCAAGATTCTGCTGGTTCCCCCACACACTGAGTAATATTCCATTGTGTAAATGTACAACATTTTCTCCATCCATTCTTTGGTTGAGAGGCATCTGTTGTTTCCAGGTTCTGGCTATTACAAACAACACTCCTATGAACATAGTTGAATAGATGTCCTTGTTGTATGAATGTGAATCCTTTGGGTTTATGCCCAAGAATGGAATTGCTGGAAATGCAGTAATAAGGAATAAGTGAACAGGTCAATTAATTAGCTATGTCATTTTAGCATTGCAAAATTACACTTAAAATTTACAAATAATGCTGCTGTTCTTATAAATGGAATAGTGTATATCATGTTTCTATCAGTCATCAAGTGAGTTACTAAAATGTTTTCACATATGCATTTTATACTTAAAATAACAATAATGATTTACATATCCTAATGATTGTTATAGATTTGTAAAAATAAACTATTTTTATTTATCTGATAAAACATGTTATACAATAGGAAAAATGAAAAACACATGAATCATAGTTCCACAACAAGATCCACAACTAGATGCCAATACATTTGTGCATGAAAGACTTTCCTTGGGAGATACAACACACATCAACTCACCCCAAAACGTAAACCAACAACAGGCCAAAGTAACAACCATATCAACATCTAATTTGGCAAATAAATGAATTGTTGTGGTTAACGCAGGTAATATAAAGGCATCTTGAAAGATTTTTGATCTCGTCACCCAGCAGTTGCAAACTGCTTCTATTACCCTTGTTGGGAGTTGTGATAAATCCTGCAGGGTTCAGCATTCCTAGAATTATGAAGAGTTTTGTCTGGCCTGAGTCTCATGAGCCTCCAACCTCCCTCCTGAAAGAAATATTCTGCTCACATGAAACTGAAAACTTTGTAGTTCAATGCCATGTAAGCCTATAGATAGCTGTTAAATGGGTAAATGTCTGGGAAGGGTATGTCAGAAATTAGAGTGAGAAACAATTTTTATGTGTTTTTACTTCATATTTGTAGACTGTGTTCTGTACATTAAGAAGGAGTATTTAAACAGAACTTCATGTTACTTGAACTTTAAACTGCTTCATCTTCAAAATAACTAGATTTCAAACATTTAACTAAAGTTCTATTAAAAAATAAAGACAGAAGACAAATGCTTGCAAATCACCAGCAACCTATATCTACAATAGGCAATAAAGTCTGTGGTTTTCAAATCTTCAAGACAAATGGTAGATCATTAAGAAATGCTCTAGTCAAGTATCTAAAAAATCCTGACAAACACTACATTTTGAAAATTCATTTCCATGAAGCATGTGGATAGTGTTTGCTATTTTTTTTGTGTATTTGTGGGGTCTATATTATTCACTTATCCTAAATGTCATTTTCCTCAAATGCCTTTGTTTAAAACACATGATAACTGCCCTCAAGTAAAGGAGATATCAACTTTCACTATCCCCAAGGGTCAGGGAACTAGCAGAAGAGTGATGGAAAGAGGGTAAGAGACATGGATGAGGAGGGAAGTTTTGAAATGCTATTGTCTACCATGAGATGGCCAATGCATTTATGAAGTCATAGCAGTACAAGGCCTGAAGAGGTCACTTCATGTGTTAGAAGGTCATCAGAAATAGTAGAATTTTTATTTACTTTCTCATTTTTATTTCCCCAAATCAAAATGTGAACGTATTTGCTTGTGTACTAGCAAAAATAGGTGGTACACTGGACAAATACTAAAAAGCAAATCGTATTTTCTTTCCTATATTTTTTGAAAAAATAAGTCAAATCAGAAAAAGTGTAAGACCCAGAGGGATTCGAGGATACCTAGAAAACAGGACCCTCTGAATCAGTGTGAACAAAGCTCCTCTGAACCCACAGAGACTGAAGCAGTGCGCACAGGGCCTGCATGGGTCTGCCCAGGTCCTGTGTGCATATATTATAGCTTTCAGTTTAGTATTTTATTGAATTCTCGTATGTGCCTTTTTGAGGGGGTCTTTTCCTCCATTGATTTGCCTTTTTCTTACCTTGATGTGATAGTTTTTGTTTTTTATTATGTTTTATTTTGTTATACTTTAAAATACATTAATAAATGAATGAATTAAAACCCTGCCTCTAGGGTAAAGGTTAACA